CTCGTAGGTTTAGCAGATATTTTCCTTTAAAAATAAGAACATTGCCAAAATGGCGGCTAGTGATAGGTCACAATATATAATAGAGATCATAGGAGAGTAAAAGGGGACTAACCCGCCCCGCGCTGATTGATAGGAATGCTGATTGCCGGTAAAGGGAGGTGTGTTTGATGACCATGTCTTAGAAGCAGCTCCTCCATAATTAGCGTTCGCTTGGGCCGCAGGATAGGAATCTTTGACTGGCGATGGGAAGATAAATTAACCAAGGTAAAACTCTTAGATTTGAGAGTAAAAAAACTTAAAAGACTATACAATAATATGGGAATATATGATTCAATGGTGAATGAGCAAAACAGTAAATAAACACTATTTAGAGACAGGCATTTTAAATGCAAATGTTTCTTTATAATTGACCATGAAGACATGTACCTCGTTCGGGTTGTCGGCGTTTAAGATGCGACCACCCATCATTATCCATTTCAAGCCTCCATCTATCACGAACAGCAATCAAAGCACTATGCGCTTCTTCTCTGGCTCGATAGGCCTTTTCTAAAGCCTTTTCGTTTTTTTCTCTTTCATAGGCCGCATATAAACGACGATGTTTTTTCAAAGCAATTATGGAAGGAACGTCGAGCCAGGGAGTTTCCTTCATTTTTTCTGTAATTTTGAGTGCGTACACACAAAAAGAGATACAATTAACTTGAATGCTATATCCTAAATGAAGATACGGCGCCCCACATTTTTAAAAAATGAGATGCCCAGCAGAAGAAATCGACACATTTTAGCGAGAATAATAAAGAAATACTTACCAATAGCCTTTGCAGTCTCTTTGGTAAGGGAATTATCCAAACCAAAATCAGACAACTTTTCCCGGAGAAAGTTTGCAAACTGAGAGAGTTGTGGAAGCGTGAAGTCTTTAGCGCTCTCCGAGATTTTACTTACTCTGTTAAATTACGAAAAGTTAAAAGCAAACAACCACTATCATAGCAAGATTAGAAGATAAATAACAAACAGATTAGAGGAATAAGCTCCAAGGAATACCAGGTATGCTGACAAGGATTATGGATATTGAGCCTGGTGAGAATGCGTAAAAAGCATAGGCACTGTTCATTAATAAGACAAATAAATTAAGCATGAATAGTTTTCGAGGCAGCGATTTAGTCTAGGCCAAAATATTACACGACAAAGTGGTCTTTTAATGTATGTGAAAATTATCAGTATCCTGGGCCCGTGCTATGACAAGGTTACACAACAGAACAGACTAAACAAGT